TCCATTTCTGATAAGACCAGGTGAGATGATCTTGAGCAAATTTAAAGCGGGCCATCCTATTTTTCTTTGATATTAGTGGTTTCTTCACCGCAACTCTTCCAAAAAGTCCCATGTCATCCAACCTTCTCACCGTGCGTGCAGACACCGATATTCCCCTTTCACCCATTTCTCGAGAAATGTCCGTGGATGTTTTTCTTGGATCTCCCATTGATATTCTCTTCATTACTTTCATTGTCCTGTTGCACACCTTTCTTGGTCTTCCTGACTTAAAAGCTGTTGAAACGTTCCTTGTTTTATTAAATTTACGAATTATTTTCGAAACGGTGCCTTTTAAAATGTTTAAATTTTTACTTATTTGAATTTGTTTATAACCGCTCTTGTATAATTCAACTATTTTATTTTTTAAATCCGTATAGAAGTATTTAGACTTGGGCATGATGTTTATATTTATCTCAAGCAAATCGTACGGTGTATCAGCTTAAACTAAATAATTTTAATGTATTTATTTATGGTTTCCATACTTTTGGCCACAAGAAATCTATTGTTCTCCAACAAAAACTGCTAAATATATTTTTTTCGCTGTGTAATTTTTGGAATACTTTTATTTGCTGATAAGCTGTTCATTTATATTCCTGAGAGTTTAAGCATAGCAATATTTTCTGTGATATTTTAAAAAGTAAAAAATTTCCCTACTTTTGGCCACCACTGTATATATCAGTTATACTTTGGTTTTAATAATAAAAAGGTTATCTTGATTTCTACTGTTCTACAAAATAAATAATTAATTAAACGTACACTTTTTTATAACCAAGATTGTATTTTCAACAGATAATTGTACTCAAAATAATTTATAATATTCTTCTGACGATGTTAACTTGGTTTTAGTAACCGAGTGGTCTGATTTTTCAAAATACGTGAAAAAAATACTAAAGAACGCTGAGTAGAATTGAAAATAAATACCAAAGACACAGTTACATGCTTCAATGGCAACATTTTAAATTAAATAATTACAACTCTATAAAAAAATAATTAGAATCATTAACCCAGTTATTAATTAAATTAATTAATAGTAATGCTACAAATGGTAGTCCTCTAAGTTTCTTAAAGGCATATATTAATATAGTTTGAAATAATTTATCCACTTCTTTTATAATATGTAACATTTTTTTGCTTTTATTGCAGAGCCCATTGGGTACTTCAGATGTATCTCTGGACCAATCATTGGCTAGCGGGGTGGACATGCGCAGCAGTGCCGTACGCGTTGCTGGCGACTACACCAAAAGAAAAAATGTCTTGCGAGTATCGGCAGTGAAACCCTGTAGATCAGAGTTTCTCATCCAAGCGGAAGGAAGTGAAGACTTTGCTGATTGGGTGAAGACCCTGCAAGAACAAGCAGCAGTCAGCACCGAAGCAGAGTTGGTATGTAATATTTGATTGAACCTTCTTTAACTCATTTACACCCTGTATAGATGAAGAAATATATTAATTAAATAATAATAACTCATGATCCGCCTTATAAATTATTATTTCCGAGAATATTTAATTGTTTTATTTTTTAATTGTTTGGATAGCCGTAGATTATCAAGTGCGTTATCTCACTTATCTTCTCACGGTTAAAATTTGACAAATTAATATCAAAAATATAAGTACCTTTAGAGTAATTCAAAGTGCTGAACAAATGAATATTATTTCGTAATTTTTATCAGTTTATACTGTATTGTTAACTGATATATCTGAGATTTTAATTTTAGTTGCAATTCGGTAGTGTACAAAATCAGTTTCCTATGACATATACATATGTAAGTGTGTGATATTTATCAGTGCAAAAAACCGATATGCAAATTGACGATATGGAAATGTATATCGATAATTTTGATATTTTTCGTATTTGGGTATGTCTGTGTGTCTTTAAGAAGATAAATAAATACCGTATGATCGAAAAAAAACCGCGTCCTCAGTCGTCAGCGGTTTTTTTTCGATCGTATGGTATTATTTTTAGCTATATAACGAGATTTGTCTTTTGAAAATGTATGAAATAATGGCTCTGAGGAAGTGTGACTTTCAATTAATACGTGAAAAGGAAATAAATATTAGCTAATGTAAATAGATTATTAGTACAGTCAATCTGGCACTTTAACTCCCACCAAATTACCCCCACACTCATACTTTGCCAGTCATAAGTGGTCCAATGGAAAAGCTTAAATTCGAAAATTCGTATCCCCCCACCCCACCGTTTTTGAGAAACTCAAAAATATTTTCGATTCGATTTTCTGGCGGAACCGTATGTCCTACAAAAAAAAATTATGGAACAAGAACTGAAAAGAATTAAATTCTCTACATTTTAATTTCTAAGTAATAAACCTCTAAAACGTACGGGGACAAAATTAGAGGGCGCCAAAGTCTCTCATACACAGTTTTTTGCTTTTTTTCCGGGTGAAACCTTTTTTTAGTATCGTTCTAGATCTTTTTTGATGCCAGATTGACTGTACTTGACGATTTTGTGGATTTTTTGTTACATTTGATCAAATTGAAATAAACATACATAGTATTTTGAATCAGCTAGCTTCCAAATAAATTTAGGAGCATATTGTTATGTTTAAGGAAAGCCAGACAAAATATACTTTATGATTTTTTTTAGGATCCCAGTATTAGTCGTCAGCAGGCTGTACCTCAACAGGTTCCAGCTTCGACGACGTTTCAAGTGCAAGGCAGTCATTTATCTCCACAGCCAGCCACGAAGAATGGCAAATCTATTAATGCTGGTAGAAATAGATCACCGACTGGCCAATCACCAGTAAGTATCTATAGTGTAGATTTGTAGATTTCGTCATATACATAATTTTAATTACTCGGTTAACTAAAATGTATTTCCTATTAGGTCAGCAAAACCAGAAAGCCTTCCTCTCACCATACTGACATTGCTGGTGCTACTAGTCCTAAGAGTAAAACTTGGAGAGGTAGAGTCGCTAAACAGCTTAAGAAATTTAATCATGGGCCAATTCTCCTAGTTCTCCGACAGCTGTAGAAGGGTAAGGAATTCTGAGGTTTTTATTAACAGTATACTTAATTTTTATTCTTTCAGCTCTACGTTTGGTATACCAATTCAGGATTGCATATTCTCAAATAACAATACCTATTTACCAAAGTTCATTGAGGTATGCACTGATATCATAGACGCGAAAGCTTGCAAACAATCGGAATATACAGAGTTCCTGGAAACAACGCTTCCATTACAGCCTTAAGCGACGAAATAAATCGCAATTTTATTGATGTTCCTTTGGAGGACCCCCGATGGAAAGATTTACACGTAGTCAGTAGTTTATTGAAAGCCTATTTAAGAAAGATGCCGGATAGTTTAGTAACGTCCGCTCTATACCCTCATTTCATCAAGGCCGATAAAATAAAAGATCCTAAAGTGAGATTGGAAGAACTAAGGAAACTAGTGCGTAATCTTCCGAAACATAACTACCACACGTTGAGACACGTGATTCGGCATCTGAAAAGAGTGTCGGACAATTCGCAAGTCAATAAAATGGAAGCCAAGAACTTGGCTATTGTATTTGGACCGACTATTGTTAGGCCGGAAGATGAAACCATGGAAAGTATGGTTACGAACATGAATAGTCAGTGTCAGATAGTAGAAAGCTTGATTACTAATGTAAGTATAATATTGTATAATGTAGAATGTTTAGGAGAGTTTTCCTTTTTCCCCTTTCTTTCCCATTCCCCCCTTCATTTCATTCATTCAAGTCTCAGGGCTTTGACAAAAGCCAGTATCTTAGACGGCTCCACAGAGGCCAGCTCCAGCAGATTCTACATTCCCCGTTGTTTCTCAGCTTCAAACTACTGAGGTGTTCGTTGAAGAGACAGTGTCCTGTTAGAAATCCCGTGGCAATCAGAAGATTGATTTTACTTAAATCAAGAAAAATCTTTGATTTTTAGCGGTCGTAAGTCCTGAGGAACTTTTTCGAGTGTCTTAGACCGTTGGGGAATTCCCATTCCGGGTTATGGATGGAGTTTTCCAGGTTCTTCAGTTCCACTTTAAGTTGGTTTCCGCTTGGAAAGCAGAACGGTTCTTGTTCAGTTAGTGGAGTGTTTGCCTTGGTTAGCGGGCACTAAGAGTAGGGGGACTTTATTTTCTTAGCCAAATTTGAGCAGCTTCTGTAGGCGTTACTTTGAATTTGGTAGACTAAGTACCACCAAGAGAGAGAGAGAATCCTCCTCAGGGGTTTTCTATATACAGCAGTGCTAATGGATCCATCGCTTCTACTGACAAGAACATCCAGAAATGGTAGACAGAAGTTTCTCTCTTTCTCAGTCGTGAATCTGATTGAGAATGATTTTTGAATGATTGAGAAGATTTGATGAAAAATAAAGACGATGAAGCCCGAAACTCTTTTAGTTTTAATAGCTTCTCTAGGCATTCTTTGACCAAATTCAAATTGATTGTTACTGAGTTGATAGCTTTTAGTTTACTTTTTAGATTATCGGATAAGATGGAGTGAATATTTATTTCAATTATTTGTATTACAGGCGGATTGGTTCTTCCCAGAAAGTGAAGGAGAAAACGAAGCTCCAATTGTACCTTTAGCACTACCCGATCATTGTGAAGAGTTTGAAACTAATAGCCAGGCATTGCTAAATAACATTAGCAAATACGAAGGTACCTAAATAGAGATAAACATTTAAGACGATCTTTTTATTAAACTATATATTTGATGTTACAGCTTTAAAGGATCAGAAGGAAAAGAATGGAGCACTGCTTTCCTCATTGTTTTCAGCTGCTCAAAGAAAAGTTATGCGAAAACCATCTAGGACTCATCCAAATGAACCTAACCAGGAGGAACCTACGACGCCCACTAGTCCAAAGGCATTTGTGCAATTTTCACTGGCTGCAGAATCAAAAGAGGTTTGTATAGAATATTAATTTTGAAAAAAAAAATCTGATTTGTCAAATAATTTTTAGAACACTGGACACGGAATGACTGTAAAACCGAACACTATACCTACGACTGTTATGGATATAGAAAAGAAAGATCGGAGCAAACCGCCTGTAGAGAAGAATCCTTGGTTCAATTACCAACAGGATAAGGATGATTTCTATAGGAGAGTGGAGAGTTTCAAGCAGGAAACGGAAGCGATGCTTCAACGGCCCAGGAAAACGGAGATATCTGTACCAAATATAGGTAAGTGATAATACGGTGTCATCATAATCTAGATCAGTATAAAATGGTCATATTTTTGAAAGTTCCTGCTTAAAAAATGCTACCAAATTATGTCTGTCTATAAAAATAATTTTTTAACAACTCATATATTTTTCAATATTTTAAAACGTTGAATTTTTTATTTTGTTAGTACCTACATATTTTATTGAATTCAGGCAGTAGGCGTGTGTATGTGTCTTGACACTTTAGTTAAAAATATAATAGCAATGAACTTGATATAAGTATTTTGCTAAGATTTTTATCACAGTAAAGTGGATTTTAATTTGATTATATTATATCTCTTGCATCTGAATATCTCCTGTTGTTATTTAATAATATTTTGTTATACAAAATATCTATAAAAAGAAGTACTTTTAAACATAATATACTTATAGAAATTTAATTTATTTTCTGTTTATATGAATTATTTTTTTTAAAGTTCTAAATAACGTGATATTGTTGTGTTTAGATTAGTAATCATATAATACCTTACTTTTACAGATCCCAAAACAGGTCATTTGAGTTCCTCTGTGAGCAACGTGAACGCAGGACGTCTATCGGGAAAACCCCAAGATTTTCTACTAACCAAGACTCACAGTGCTACCAATGTATTTACTAGGCCTTCGCTTCCTCCTACCAACCGCAACAGCCTAAACTCAATGGACTCGAAAAATATTCGTGCAATACAACAGTAATAGTTTAGGGCGATGTGTCTCGATATTCGCATAATCCGAACAGTAGATCCCAGAATGACAGTTATTCCGTGGATCCCAGTGGGAAAAACGAGTCTTGTATGGTGACGGAGTAGATGGAAAAATAAGCCGGTATCCAATGAGAAGGGGTAGTTCTGCGGAGAACATAAATTGTAGCACGTTGGATCTAAATTCTAACGGAGGAATGAAGAAAGTCAAGTATGAAAGTGAGGTAAATAAAAAATCAATTTATTTAATTTTTTACTTGTTTTTTAACTTCGTTTTTTGTTTTTTTTAGAATGATAGTCAAAGAAAAGGATCATTAGATTCCTTAAATAAACTTCAAGGTGATGAAGGTAAGTTATAATTTCAAAATATGTTTTTTTTAAATATTGCCGTTGATTGAAGAAATAAGAAGATGCGCAACTTTATGGGCGATTTCGTGGCACAAAAACATGTCCGAGATGTAGCTGGCGTTGCCGTCAGCCTGTCCGAGAATTCCGAGACTTACTTTAGCACTGCGCCGCTGCGTGCTGATAGTCGTTTACAGCGCAGGGGATAAAGAATACTGTACCGTAGTTCTGCTTTCAGTCGACAGAGTGAGTGGTTGCCGGAGACAGTGTTGCCAGAACTACTGATTAATCCGTATGTTTACGGATTTTGGGTACAGTACGTTAATAATACCGATTTTCTATCATTAAACAATTTAATATAATATTATATGATTAAACAAAGAACGGCATCAGAGTTGGCTTGGAAATGAAAATCGCTCTTATTTCATATGTAAAATATTATGGTAAATGTCAATAATCGTCATTTCCAAGCCACCTAAACGATTTTTTTCGATTATACGACATACTCAGTGTCTATAAAAGAATTTTTATTTTTGTTGTAAACGCGGATTTTTCATCCAAAGATATTTTCGCCAAACGTATTACAGATATTACACATTTTAATATGGCAACACTGTCGCTTTCAAATCCACACTGCCTTCGATATGCCTTCGTTGGACGTATTAGAGAAAATAAGTGTTTTATGCGTTGACCGCAGAACAATTGGTGTCTCTACCATACATCACTTGAGACGAATGGGGAAATCAAATCACACAATCTTGTCACGAATTCGTCCATTAGGTTGCGTATCTTCCCAATTCTTTCAATCAGTGATATTACTCAAAGATCTTAAAGGAAGAAAGAAAATATAATTTTCATGATATTTTATACAGGTTATATCTTAAATAATAAATAATGTTTAATTTTTAAGTAAACAATTTATTTTTAGCACTTTTTAACAGATCTCGACCTTAGTTTTACTGTAAAAATTATACTTAACACAACTAAACTGTATCAGTTAAACATTGGGTCAGTTAAATGGGAAGCAGCTAATATTTTGTTAAAAATTATAATTTCAAATATTATGTCTTACTAAATATGTACTTTCGAATTTTTTTATTTCCCTTGTATCTGGAATTATCTAAACATAGTCTTATCTCAGCACATTATAGCAAATATATAAAAGAAATACCTACAATGGTCACTTGAGAATAAGGGGTTAAGATTTGATTCAATATTATCTTTATTATGTTCAGTAAAATTATACGCCTTTTATTAAGCTAGAAATTTGAGATTGTGTTGAGAGTAGCTGCTCAGTCTATTAAATTACTGATTCTTTAATTATTAAATGACAGGCTCTAACCCTTCACTGACGCCAGTCGTCGGCTGGCGGTCAGTTAGACCTCCCACAGCTGCACCCCAAAGACCTCCTAGAACTCGTCATTTGTACAATCGTCTGTAATCCGCTCAGAGTGTAGACAGCTGCGCATAGATCTTTAACAAAACACGCTCAACGTTTGTGCGCTTTATTACTGGCTAACATCTGTGTGTTAGAAGCATATTGTACTACTCCTAGATATATATAGAAAACCAGATTCTTATTGAAATTGACTAACTACTGTGTGATCGAGTATAGATGATGTTACTGTAGGCGTTTAAATAACATTTGATCAATTGCAGAATTTTTCTTATAGTGATAGCTGATCGTGAGTTATTCTTAAACCTTGGCTATTATACAGAAAAAAAACGTGTACTTTAGAAGCTGTTACTGTGAAAAGCCTTAACGATTGACAGACACCAATCAGATTATCAGCAGTATGTTTAGGCTCTCTCACTGGTTCGTGACAGCTGTCGGAATAAATTTTTAGGTTAGCTCGTTGAACATATAAGATGATATCTTTTTCGCCTTCTGTAAAAGTCGTTTTTATTCGATTATACAGTATTTAGTAATAAAAGAAAAGAATCTGGGTTTTCTGTACCAAAAATTCGTGCTTTTGATGGATAGTAACAGTGTTCACGGCTTATTCAGAAACCTTTTCACACGACTCTGTTGTATCAAATTACTTTTCTATTGTGTACAGTTTATTAATACCACAATTTTATTTTTATTTTCCAAGCGATAATATACCATAGATCAATCGACAATATACCCTTTACTTACATCAAGATCAGTTTTCTCTACTAATCAAATTACTTCTACACTACATAGTTTATTTTTGAAATCTTCTAGAATATCACCACTGAAACATAATACTTAAAAATCAAAGTATTTGTTTTATATGAATAGTTGTTGGATGCAGGTACTCTAATTTACCTAACCAAAAAGACACTTTGTCATTTTAAGATCTAACAATTTAGAATATGTTTAACAATAGAATACATGACAATGACAGTTGTTTGTCATTTTAATTCAAGAATAAATTTTATAAAAATATGCTTTTTTCCAAATATGCTAATAAGCCACCCTCGTTCCATTTGAAAAAATTGAGATATGATTAAAAATACGATTTAAGCATTTTCTAACTGGCCATGACAAGACACTAAAAACATTAGACGATCAAATCTATTTTTCCAAGGCTCCTTGATTAAGAATTAGTGTTTTTAACATAACCATCGCACTCTAGATTGAATTTTAAAATACTATTTTTTATTAAGCTAGAATGTCAGTTGACATATGATATGTCATTCTATTCAGAATGTCATTTTCTATCGAATAAAGTAAAAAAATACCGAGGGTTCCATTTAAAAATCAAAAGTTGTAGTCATTTCCGGTGAAACAGGAAGTGACCGAAAACAATTGAATACGTCAATCAATCCTAATTTATGTCATATAATGTCGAAAAAATAAAAGTTATACGGGTGGAGCCACTTTTGGAGACCCATCCGGTTTTCCTTAAAATTTCGATTTTTTTACTTAAGTAAATTTGTATAAAAAAGCCACTGATAATTTTTTCTTCTTAGATTCCTGTCTTAATAGTTTCTTGTATTAGACTGATTTCCTTTTTATTTTTAAGCGTTTTGTTTTTAGCTCCGATATTCCAAAGAAGATTTTAGAAATTGACATAAAAGTATAAACAATACTTACATATTTTATTAAAATCCGTTAAAATTAAAGGCTATATTTAGCGTTTGTTTTCTTTTCAGACTTATCCAGCATCATCAAACTAATAGATCAAAACTTAAAGAAGACAAAACGTCCGAGTCGAACCCACTTCAAGGGACCGACCTACCATTCGTAGACGAATCGCCCGAAAAACATCCTGCTAAATAGTTCCAGCAAGGGTAAGGGGAGAACGTTCCGCAACCCGGCGACTTATATAAGAATCTAAGCTTACACAAAAATCAATACGCGGCATCCAAAACAGTGAAACCGTTGACGAAAGCTGGCAGATTCTATTCTTAAAAGAGTTTAAGAATGAAAGAGGAGAAGGAAGTGGATACGCGTGCTTCCGACGATGTACCTGATAACGAGAATTTACATCTCTGTAACTGTAATAGCCAATACGTTAACACCGGTCAGAAGTTGAAGAGGTCGGAGTCGTTAAACAAACCCGACAAGACGACAGTATCGACCATCAAAGTTAAGAGAAGCGAAAGTTTGAACAAGACCGGAGATAAGTTAAAACGTTCCGGACAGTCTAACAAAAAACGAAAAAAGACCGAGAGCAACATCAACAAACGGCGAGAACTGTTGTCTTCCGGACGCAGACTGAAGGAATCGACGAAGAACAAGAGGAAGAACGGAATGCCTGACCTGTTCGATCAAACGGAGACACACAGTGGGAGGCACGAAGGACCCGGACAAAGTGACCTTACGGATAACAAGAACCAAGACGAAAACAATCCCAACGCGGAAAATAATAAGGAGAAAGGTATCCGGACCCAGTTCTCCAGATCTCAGTTCGACGCGTAGGGAGCGATTCTTGTTCGAGATCAGCCTCATAGGACCCGAGAACATGGTGGTGGCTCTGAGGCAGCACCTGATGGGATCCAGGCCTCCAGAGCTTCCCGAGTCGAACGTCTTCAAAATGCATCTAGAATCTCAATGTCTAACGTTCGTGCCTTTAAGGATCACAATTTCTTGCTCGCAGGTTAGTACAAGACCAAAATCTTAGATCATGTACAACACGTGGATACTGCTACGCCATAAGATTTCTAAAATAACTGTGATGTCAACATAAAATTGGACAATCATTTTGTAGAGCATACTGATTGTGCACATTTAAATATGAAATACGTGCGATAAATGTAATAACCAAATATATTTATCACAGATTAGGTATACTATATGTATACAGATAAAAATCTTATCCCTAATTCGTGGTACGAAAATTGTTTTTTTATGACGACGTAACGAGTAAAATTTCCTGTGCGCAAAAATAAACTCGCGTAAAATAACAATAAACAGCGTAACAGAGATATATGGCTAAACCGAATAGCGTGCATGGACGTTAATAAGGCCAGGTGTTATTTCCTTTACGTGAGGTGGTATTAACTCTCTTCATTTATAGTTATCGGATCGGAAAGAATCCTAGTTATATATATACCTATTCTGTTCGCGTCCGCTATTTAAACTTAAACTAACTTTGAATTTAAAACTTTGAAATTGTTTTGTTTACTAGGTATTTTAAAACTAAAGGGCTAAAGTGCTTATTTCCAGTGCTTCATTGTTCAACGTCTGCCAGTGGGTTTAGGGCAACAAGCAACAAATTCTCTTAGAAGGGCTAAGTCATCATCTGCTGTAAACCTAAGCCTCTCTATAGGTTCTTTAATATTGGAAGAGGTGGAATCCATATTTTGGGCCATATTTATTTAATTAAAGCTAATCCCAGCTACTTAAATATCAAATTACCTAATAAAACTAAAGTAATAATCCAAAACAATTCAAATATAACCTAAAATAAAAGATCTCGCCGCTCGCCGGCCGGCCCCGGTTGTTAAATGTACCCGCACATGCCCATTTAAGCAATTTTTAAACGTTATTTAGAAATAGCGCTTGGTGTAATTGATCCGCAAATTACGTCAGGCGGTAACGTTATTAGCGGGTGTTGCGTTAAAAATTGACTAGCGCATATCGTAACCATGATAAGGTACGCGTAAATACTGCATGACGCTTTTCGGTTTTCCGATATCTCTCTAATAACTGTGCTGGTCAGGCGCTGTGCACAATTTTAAAGGCCATAAGTGGGCGTGCTATGTGCGCAAACTAGTAATCTAACTAGTGCCCGATTCCGAAAATTGGAACCACGAAAAACTATAAAGAAAAAACAAAGTTTATAATCTGTATGGTCTGTGATATTATAAGACTATATTGCTAGTAAGGAACAGAAATTGAAGCCAAATTTTTGAGATGGAGCTATACAAAATCCACATAAGTGGGTCCTTTTAGTTCAACAGCTTTGCACTACGCAAGCGTGAAAAGTGCTTTGCGATTAGTTGATTTATTTTATACTAACCAATCGAAGTAGTTTTCTGAGTTTCTGTCTACCACGTAAATCAATTTAGGGTCTGACTGTTCGCGCTTTTACTTATAAATTTAAATTTAATCTCAGACATATTTAAACAAAAACAAGAAACGGATAGATATATCTATATTTCACGAATATCTAAACAGGTTGAAATAATGCCATACCAATACAAAAATAATATATTATATGTTATTAACATTTTGGGTTCAAAATAGTGCGCGGGCAGGTGACAGCGTTTTCAGCGATGAAGTAGACAAATCAGATCGTTTTAATTGGCACGTGTGCACGAAAATCCTGTTGATCCAACCAGGATAGACTTGTGCAAGATTGATATTCCTATTTCGTTCCTTTGGCACTTTCCATTCATTGTTTAAATTCGGTACTAGCATATAGCTTTATAATATATTTGCTAATAACAAAGTAAATAAGAAATAACATAAAGTATACTCAGAGAAGATTTATTTAAAAATTAAATCCTCAAAAATTCAAATGTGTCAAGTAAAGCGTCAAACAAAACTGACAGTATTTTGAATTGAAGTATTACATTTATTGCAAATAAATAGTTATAAGATGGTCTCTGTTATATGTTGACAACATAGTTAGACGGCTATAAACGTATCCATGGCAGTTTATATGATCTAGGGACCAAAATACATCACCGATTTGACTAATCTGTTCGCGGAAAGTGCATCCAAATCAACGGAAAACATCAAACTCGACAGACTGATTTTTCAAATATTTGTGAAAGAATGTGCAATAGGGAAGAGTTGAATGCGTGAAATGCGGATAGTTGGGTGGCCGTACGGTATTCTAAAGAATGTGATACATTAGGTTTAAGTTGGGTGACAAGAAAAACTTATGATGTATCTTTACGCGAACTCTGAATAAACTATTAGTTGAAATAAATTCACGTCTGGCGAGCTATGAGTGTTTTTGAAATTTAGAAAAAATCTTCATTGCTAGGCATAATATTAAATTAACTTAAAATAAGAAATTTTAATAAAATTTTAGATACAGTTTAGTGTTTGTTACCCAACAATTTTTATATTAATTACTACTTGACATAATATTGTATATATACATAATTATTGGCTCATTATTATTTCAAATGTAAATTCTCATATTACCATGATGATTTTTATTTAAAATTTTCGCATTTTATTTGTTACTACTTTTAGTTTGCTTATTTAATTATTATTGTGATTCTTAACGATAATTCCAATGAAAGCAATTGAATTTGTGATACCTACATTGATGTAGTCCTGTAGGCCTGTAAATAAAATATTTTATTTTGGATTGTCTAAAAATTATTTGCACTAATTAAACACATATTAAAACAAGTAATTTAGGGTCTTTTAGATAGCAAATAGTTGGAGGGGCAAACAGTTTGTGCTCTCAAGATTGATTGAACAGATCGTGGAAGGTAAAATAATTGTATTTTTTTATTTTGTCGCTTACTTGCGATTCGATAGTAAAAAATCATCAATTTTTCATTAAATTAGTTTATTGAATGCAGTGTCGCTGATAAGCCTGTTTTATATAATTATTGTCTATATTAGAATTAGAACTGGAAACGTATAAAATAATGCGAAGCTGTATTCACAAAACAAAGTGCTATTAGGCTGTTTGTATCTTGCCTGTTATTGTTTTTATAGTTTTAGTACAAACTGTATGTTGTTGTAACTTTGTGAAGATTGTAAATATATTTTCAATTTATGCACTTTGAACAGATATTTTATTACCAAGTAAATCCTTCCACATAAAATGTGATCTAAAGGATTATGCCGAGCTGGACAGAGGTGTCTTCTCTTATAGGTCGCCAAGTTCCAAACACAGTAAGTTTTCTTCTGTTTTATTTTTTTTTAATGTGTGGGGATTTTTTAGATTTGGCATCGTTGCGCAGGACAACGGTCGACACCGACGAAACTATATTTCGCCTTACTCCTTATTCTATCTCTTTCTTAAGGCGGATTCTCGTGTATTTGGCAAGTATACCAATATTTGCGTACTTGGCAAGTATGCTATCTTTGTAAGCAACCTTTTTTGCAACAAGCTCGTGACGAGTGACAAGTGATTACGCAAGTGAACCGCGCACACGGCATGGCAAGTATATGCCAATAACAATGTTTATACAAGTACACGAGTCATGACTGTCACTCTGACGACTCGTGTACTTACACCATTGGTTATTGGCGTATAGTTGCCATGTCATGTAAGGGGATGTACAAATATCTGTCACTCGTAGAGGCTTGTTGTAAAAAATGTATTTATAAAGATAGTATACTTGCCAAGTACACAAATATTGGCGTACTTGCCAAGTACACGAGTTGTGAGAATCCGCATTTACAAATTGTCCTCCAGTTGGTTATAACTAAACATTGGTTATTGGGATATACTTGCCATGTCCTGTGAGCGGTTCACTTGTGCTATTATTTATCACTCGTCGCGCCGCGTGAGTGCCAAGCTTGTTGCGCAAAAATCTGGTTTACAAAGATAGGCGTACTTGCCAAGTACACGAGTACACAAGTATTTTTTATTGGCATACAGGATCTGGCGTGAATGCGGAGTATAGTTCCTATAATAAATAATTTAGAAATTCTGTATAGATGCCCGAGGCACCATGAATATCCTATATACCAATTACAAATGTTTGTCAAGTTCACGAGTCATGAGAATGCGCCATTATATTGTCACTGTTAAGGCGGATTCTCCCGACTCGTGTCCTTGGCAAGTACGCCAATATTTGCGTACTTGGCAAGTATACTATCTTTGTAAACAACATTTTTTTGCGACCAGCTTGGAACTCACGCGG